AAAAAAAGCCTAGTGCTTATCTCTCTCACCTGTTCTCCTTGCAGAAGCTGATCAAGGTCCCATGGATTAGCCTCGGGCAGTTGCGAGTATTCGGACGAGAAACGTGCGTCCATTAGCATGATGGTGTAATTTGCTGAAAAAGCCAGGATTTGCAAAACATTCATGGATTGAAAACAGTTTCGCTTATTATCCAACAAAGGCTTGGGAGACAATGATAATTGGAGTTTATTGTGTGAGAATAAACTTGATTTGAACTATGAGCTTCAAAAAATGTTAAGCACTAAATCAATTCTTTAAAACTTTTCGAACTTATCTGATGACCCTGTTGAAAAGGTGCTACAGACATGCTACAAATAATGATGGGTTGTATCAAATACTCACAGTACATGTGAAAATGGCCTTATACAAAGTAGGAGGCTATGTCAAAACTAGGTTCTGGAGAAAACGTGCAGAGATGTTGAAAGTACGTGCCAAGTAGTTCAAAAAAGAATTACTGCCATCCTGAGTGCTACGGAAGCTTCCAGCATAAAGGGAATGCCTATAAATCAAGAAAGACGGTCAATTTAGTAGTGTTTTTTTTTCTAGAGCATAGCATTTTCCAAGTGTGATGAGTCCATTTGGTCAAACTATGGATTCTTGTAACTAATCTCACTGTTTTCTTAGGTTCGCTTAATTGCTACATGATGCTGCTGCTTGATGCTACATAAAGAGAAAGGATGTTTGTTAGATTATTTTTCCCAGCAAGATAGTCGCAAACTCATCGTAAGAGTTGCTCAATTGAAAATGTAAAACGAAGAGTTGCTTTGCACCTATACCACATAATTGTCGGTTGTTATTCGATATTGTAACAAATTTCAATAAAGAGGTAGTAGTAAACACAGATCAAAAACTTGCCATTAATAGTTGTAAAATCTGTACTCGAGGATCGGCTTCCTGTGGTTTTCATAGCTATGATATCTGCTGCGTAATTCATAGAATAGAATTTTTTGGAGGATAAGATTTTGAGCTTATATTTGTCAAAAACAAGACATTTAAGAAGACTTGGGAGGAAGCTTACGCAACTACTCTTTGTCTTATGGCCCAAAGAGCGAATAAACTCAATAGAAACAGTATCTATTGATGTATGCTGTAATTTTTAGCATAAAAGTTAATTTCGCAAAAAATCTCCCTCGAGAACTCTCAGCGTTCAGAAAAAATAAGAAATAGTCTGCTAATTGTTTTGCACCATTATCGGCTCGGGAAGATATTTTTTTCCACAAAAGTGCAATCAGCTGCACATTTTGATTTTCCTTAAGCAGTGCAAAACAGAGGTGGACAAAATGTTCCTCAGCTTTCAGTCACTTCAAATCCAGCTCTTCACCTCTGAACGAGCAAAAGAATTTTCGTAGAAGATTAGAAACAAGCTTGAAAATAGCATGAATCTTTATGAGGATTCAAGTATGTCAACTTCTTGCAATACATATTTGAAGCATAAAAACTCTTCAGCTGAAATAATCCTACATAGGAACTAAGCCTTCGGCTACCGAATGTGATTTGAGCACTTGTAGTTTATTGCCGAGCGTGTGTAGATACGGATTCCATGCAGGATAATTCGTTTGATTGGCAATTTGTCGAAACTCGCCCCGAAATGGCCGTGGAGCCGCATTCGTTGGCCATTTTGACGACTCACCCTCATCAGGGCTCACCTCGTAAGGATCGCTCATCCACTGTTCTGGATGTGGGATGGAATAATGCGGAAGATCTGCAATTCCTGGAATTCCGATTGAAGTTCAAAAATTGCTCTGGCCATAGAAAATTCAACAATCGAAAGAAATCAACAAATAAAACAAGGTTACACAGATGAAAAACAGAATTCCCTTCTTCTTTAGCTCATAGGTGTCGTTAGAGATTTCTTGTATTGAATAGAAGCTTGCCTCACTAATTCCACATGCAGATATCATCCACACAAATAAATCAACACTTGAGACTCACTTGAGAAATTTATCCTACTATCAACGCTGACATAGGACAGAGAATAGAAATGTAGAAATGTCAGCACATTTACATATGTTGAAGATTCAAGAGCCCAAAATGCAATATTTTACGATGATCGAATGCTGACGGAGATCAAAGCTAATCTTCAACCACACGTCTTGTTTTCAGGGCAGTACCTCAATTAGTAACTCCTTCCAAAATCTATATCTCTGTTCAAAGTCTAGCCTAGCTTGAGTCAGGGTTCCTGTTGTTAGAACAATTACATTCTTTACAGTTACGTGTTACATTTTTTTTGTTTTTTTCTTATTTTGAAGACTCACAAGCAAGACCTTTATTAGACCAGCAATGTATATGGTACCGTCATTTATAGTTCACATGCACCGAAAACAATCAGTTCAGAGAAATTATAAACCAGTTTCACAAAATGGTTTGATTATAATCAAATACAAATAGTCATGTTGATGCAAATCTTGGGCTAAACTCTTGCTTATAGAAGAAGAAATTCGATTTTATCATAATTCACAACATAATATTTCTAATACCAGAGGTGGACTTAGAAAAATTGTGTTACCAAAGGCTAGACGAAACTTTAGAAGAAACTCCTTCGAGTGCCGAGTTGCGCATGATGTAGATATACTTTTAAGAAAAAGATGTTCGTGGCTGAACTCACATTGTTTGAAAAGGTTCTGAGAGTTACCTGTAATCACACTAGCACTTTCATTTGTTTCGTGGTTTCAACTGTTTTTTGTTGTTTTGTTTTGTTTCACATCCGTAGTAGCATCCCTATGCACAAATAAATAAATAAATGT